AATTTGACCCCGAGCTGTTTTATATTTGATGTAACTGTTTTTCAATAAAATATTAAAGTCTCCCAGTCCGTGACTTTTCCTGAAAGTGTGTTATGTACCACCCTCTGTTGTTAAAAATTGTCAATATGAAGTCAGATTGAAGAAATCACCCAAAAAATTGCCACCCCTTTTCATATAAACATGACGTGTTGCTATAGCAACGCCTTTTGTCTACTGCGGTTCCTCCTTATAGATTGAGAGAGAGAGAGAGAGATAGATGGATAGATGGATAGATGGATAGATATATAGATATATATATATAGAGAGAGAGAGAGAGAGAGAGAGAGAGAGAGAGAGAGAGAGAGAGGAGAGAGAGAGAGAGAGAGAGCGAGAGAGAGCGGAGAGGAGAGAGAGAGAGAGCGAGAGACAGAGAGAGAGAGAGAGAGAGCGGAGCGAGAGCTCTCTCTCTCTGCTCGCTCTCGTCTCTCTCTCCTCTCTCTCTCTACTACTGCTCTCTCTATCTCCATACTCTTCTCTCATATCTCTCTTCTCTCTCGCTCGCTCTCCTCGTCTCTCTCTCTCTCTCTCTCCTCTCTCTCTCTCTCTCTCTCTCTCTCTCTCTCTCTCTCTCTCGCAGCTATCTATCTCTCTCTCTTATCTATCTCTCTCTCATTTAGTCTTCTGCAGTCTTAGTCTGAGTCTGAGTCTGAGTCTGAGTCTGAGTCTGAGTCTGAGTCTGAGTCTGAGTCTGAGTCTGAGTCTGAGTCTGAGTCTGAGTCTGTAGTGAAGGAGTGTGCTCCCGCTCACGGGAGACTGCTCGCACTGCGCTCCGCAGCAAACAGCTGTGGGGCGAGTTGAAAGTACGTTATGCTGGCCGCGGTGTCTAAATAATGCTTCCGGCCCAGCGGGCCATTTATAATGTCGAGCCCTGAGAGTCCACAGATTATATTGGTATACGTTTCATCCCTGTGCGATCAAAACTCTCTGTTCAATAAAAGAACATTTTACCTTGAAAATCAATGCATTCTAATAGCGGGTCAATTTGACCCAGGTGGCGGTTTTAGGTATAAAAAATCTCTGGCGGTTCTAGTGTTAAAGGATCAGCTTTTTCATTGTACAGTATATGTGGTTCAGGGGTGTGAAAGATTCATTGAAAAAAATAAACCTTAACTGACAAAAGGACCTCTCCTATCCTGTTTGACTGCCTTTGAAAGGAAAACAAATATTATTTTCCTTCACTATCAGTGGTTTATTCATATTGAATAACAAGAAAATGTGTTGGCCTACAACCTACTTCAGGCTGTTTAGTATGGCCTGCGATTATTTCTGAAATGTCTTGTCTCCATTGTATTCCTTTGTTATGGAACAATAACAAGGGACATCACTTTATAACACTCGCACTTCTGTTGGCTAGCGGGTTTGTTACCCATTGTACCTGGTAGACCAAGGGGCGGTACATTTCTAAGCGGTTGACCAATCACAACAGAGCTCTGGTTTCAGACAGAGGGTAAAAAGAGGTGCTGTAGTACAGACAGCATGAGAAAAATAAAGACCTTTTTGACCATTAAAGCAGAAAATACAAATATGAACCTGAAAATGTGCATTATACGTCTTCTTAAAAGAAATAATGTTTGTACTGAACATTTCATTTAAAGTCACAATCACCTTACTTTAACCTCAGCATGTCCCAGCAAACAGTGCAACGTTTTGTGTAACAATAAATCACAACATTATGTGGTTTGTTTGCGTGTTCACTTTGCATTCTCTGCAGCGTTATGAACTGTCTATACATGTACACTGTATCAAAATGAAATGCCAAAGGCGCCTTTTTATAGGTAAGCCTGCACTTTACAGAATTTGCCAGCTTTTAATTATCAGGCCTATTCTTGCATATTATGAACAGATTATCTTTTTGTGGTAGAAAACATAATACTGCGACTGAAGTTCTGTTTGTGTTTATATTATGTGTGTGTGAGATTGTGTGGCATTATGTGTATAGTGGTCATGTTTTGTTTGTGGTAAGGACATATCCCCTTCACTCAAGCTGTTTAGAATGAGCCCTTACCTTTTTATTTTAGCCTTCCTTGCATTCCAGCACTGGACTCTCCAGCAGTGAAAATGAAATAAAAAATACAAGCCATTTATTTATGAACATTTAAATGAAGACATATTATCGAGAATCCAGACATAAAGGTCTAAGACAGTGGTTCCCAAACGGTGTGCCGCGGCACACTGGTGTGCCGTGAGGCAAGTCCGGGTGTGCCGTGGGATTTTGTGACAACCATACGTTATTATTGCAATATACAACTACACAAAAATAATTATTTTTTTATTTACTATATCAGTACTTTGTATGCACCCATTTCATAATATAGAGGCAAACTCTATACCTAAAAACAATTCTTTTAAAAAAAATCCTCACAGAACCCCATATTTCGCTGTTAACGCAGTTGCAGGTGGGAATTATAAGACCGTGACACATCGAAGGCTGAAGGACAACATTAAAACAGAGAAACACGCAAGAGGGAAAATGGAGCGCTTTCTTGTGCGGAGCAAACCACCAACCACCAGTGCAGAGACTGCCGACAACCCACCACCGAAAGAAAAGAGGAAAAAAAACTGTCAGCAGACAGTATCATGAAAGTTACCTGTCTTATGGCACTGCAGGCGAGCGGCAGATTTTCCCTACAAATAGACGAATCTACTGACATAAGTGGGGCTGCCCAACTTCTGGCAAACGTCAGATATGTTGATGCTGACTCTATCAAAGAGACGTTTTTCTTCTGCAAAGAAATGGAAAGCCATACTACGGGAGAAGATGGTGAATTACATCAAATCAAGGCCCCTGAAATCTCGCCTCTTCTCCCAGCTGTGCGCCGAGATGGGAGCCGACCACCAAAGCCTGATCCTCCACACAAAGGTACGTTGGCTGTCACGGGGGAAAGTCCTATCCCGTCTTTATGAGCTTCGGGAAGAGCTTTTGGAGTTTTCACGTGAACACGCTGTCCCACATAAAGACAAGCTCGCGGATGAGAGGTGGTGCGCCAGGCTGGCTTACCTCGCAGGCATATTTGGGCATCTCAACAAGTTAAACGCCAAGCTTCAGGGCAGGAATGAAAACATTTTATCATCCACAGACAAGATTCGGGGGTTTATGGGCAAACTTATCCTGTGGCGCGAGGCTTTGGAACAGGGCTCCATGGACATGTTCCCGCTGGCATCAGCTGCGCCGCAGGCAGCTAGGGAGCGCGCTGTATAGCCAAACACCTTCAGACCTTAAAAGAGAGGTTTGACCGCTATTTTCCACGTGTTGCTGACATCGAGGACTATGACTGGATCCGAGACCCATTCCACCAGGAATTCCCAACAGAAAAGCTCACTATGAAAGAGAGAGAGGAGTGCGCAGAGCTCCGTGTGGACCGCACACTGAAACTCAAATTTAGTGAGCTCCCACTGGATCAGTTTTGGTTGGCTTCTGCATCGGAGTACCCAAGCATCTCCCACGACGCGATTGAGCAACTTCTTTTTCCCACTACCTACCTGTGTGAGTTGGCGTTCTCTACTCTGGTTTACATGAAGAACAACAGGAGGTCACGGCTCTCTGTTGAACAGGACTTGCGAGTGGCCCTCTCCTCAGTGCCACCAAGGATTAAAAAAATCTGCGCGCCCCGACAGGCACATGTATCTCACTAATTTGTAAGTCGGCAAAATATTTACAATAGCACATGTTTCAATGCTGATTGCTGAAATGTTACATTTATAATTTGTAGTTCAGGCCCATGGACAGTGCAGCTTCCTTGCATTGACAGTTCTCTGTGCTGAATTTCTGCTGAGTCTTTGCCTCATTTTTAATTTTGTGACCTGTCTGGTTTAAATGAGTGTGTTGCTGCTTTGATGAAGCCTAATTTGATAAAGTTTCAAATTAATTTCTGAAATATTTCGTTAATAAATATTTCATGAGTAATATAGTTGTCTTTGTCACATTTTATTTGGCATTAGTAAATAATTATGCACATTTACAGATATTTTACATGATATGAGTGATAACACGTGTTTTAGGGCTATTTTGCACAATAGGTGTGCCTTGAGATTTTTACTTGTCCTTTGGTGTGCCTTGGGCACAAAAAGTTTGGGAACCACTGGTCTAAGATATAGCTGTGCTTGTTCTGACATGTCTCACAGTGGATATTCTTCGGCTACTTTATGTTTGGTTTACAACCAGTTCACTAAATGATCAGTCTAAACAAATCATGGGGTTCATCTCATTACCTTTTTTGGCTTTCTTGTTTACCTCACTTGCGTCCTTTCCTTACGTCCTAACTCCACCTTCCTAAGACGAAAGGAAGCGATGCGATGACAGAGCAATGCTTAGTTTATAAATTGGATATTCTCGTTCACTTAAATGTGATTTTCAAACAATGTGTTTTACCTACAGTTTGTCGATTGGGCTTGACTAAAAGTTCAATCGTATTTTTCTATTGAAAATAACTAATCTAATTATTTTTATTCTTGGTATAAAATGTATAATTTTGTCTTTCAAATTGTTAATCAATCAATTATATGTAATAACAATAATTGGCGGGCTTACGAATTTGTCATTGTCGATTTTTTTAAGATGCACTTTTGCATTAGATGTTGTACATAATTGAAATTGTCTCTACTCTCTTGTCTTCAAATTTTTGTTTAAGTTATACCAAAACAAAAATACAAATGGAAGAGAATGACTGTGAGTTATGATCAATCCATGCATTATTGAAAGTTAAAGTATACACACACACTTGTAAATGTTTCATATAGAGTAGGATCTACTCATACATCAAAGAGATTGTTTTAGTTCAAGCACATCAAACATGTTTTGACTTTGATCTACAGTCCAGACTACCCACGATATCAAGACTAATGACCTCAAATCCTAGCAATGCACCAAATCCCTAGTTTCAGGTGTAACATTTGACAGCAGATAATGAAGCATGACTCACTTTTTCTGATTTTACCTTCTCACTCTACTTCAGACAGCCACTATGGACAATAAGGCATTGGAACCTGACTCTCTGAGTATCCCCATGGAAGAAACCATTGTGTGTAATGGAGGTGGCCAGCCTCAGCAGCAGCAGGAAGTGTCCATACTGACCCACCTGAAGAAGGTTGAGAACCAGATCACTGAAGCGCAGCGTTTCTCCCACCTACCCAAACGCTCAGCCGTGGACCTGGAGTTCAACAACGTTTCCTACACCATCCGGGAGGGAGCATGCTGGAAGAGGAGAGGTAACACACATCTGTACAGTCTTCACACACTGCTTGTGCCAGTCAAGTCTATGTAAACCAGTCTGTAGTAGTGATGCTCAAAAATAGGTGGGTGTATTAATTGTACACCCACCTTGTACAATTAATACACCCTCTAATTGTGTTATAATAATAATGGGAGCAGACTTAGAATAAATAGACAAAGGACGCATAGTTATAAAGACCTCGGTGAATTGGAAACGCATCCTGTGTCTCAAATTGTGTACTATTGTTGTTACATTTGTTGTTAAAGTGCATAAGTGCGTCCTAATGCATTGAACTATGAGTACCTGGATGGTGGAATCATAACGGTCAAAAAGTTCATTGTAGAACGCTGCACACTTTGCACACACAACGATCTTGAAGTCACGCAACAAGCTCAAGTGCAGTTACTCCAACAAATATATACAATTATGTGTTTTTGTTCACTGTTTAAATAAGTACCACTATACTAGTGTCAAATAGACACCGCTGTTAATTTTATAGGATTATTTGAGCTGTAATAATAATGATAATAATACTTTGGATTTTTATAGCGCTTTTCCTAATGCTCAAAGACGCTTGAATGTCCTTGTAATGGTTTGGTTCCGCAAACTAGCTAGCTATCACGGCTGCTGTGCCCTCACTGATGTTAGCATTGGAAAATAAATCTGTGTCTAAATTCAGATACAGAACCGGACAGAGGTGACAAAGTGTCAACTTGTTGTTATGTACGTTGCACATTTACATACCAAATTATTATGAAGTACTGTACGTAACGGACCTAACTTAGGTTAGTTACAGCGTCAACCATGTGTTTTTGGGTGTGAGATTGTTCTATGTTCACAGTAAGTGATGTTATGGATCAGACAGGGCAAGTCTCACATATCAGTTTTTTTAAATATATGATAAGGAAGTGGTTGCTTAATGCCTTGCTATGTAACTTCTCCATAGCGACTTGGCATTGCGTCCTCTGCAAGTGGAATCCAGAGTGAGATATTCTTGTTACTGGACACATTTCTCTCTCTCATCCTCGCTCTGTTTCTTCTTTTGTCTGACTGATCATGTCTCCAGCAGTGAGTGCTGACCTGGTGCCTACAGTTAATGTTGCAAACCCTTGTCTTTATTGATCTTTTTTTGCCCAGATAATTTCCCCACATAGAGACAGATTGGACAGGCTGATTGGCTGATTGTTTTTGACTCACTGCCCTACCCAAAATCAATGGCCATGGATTTCAGGCAGAATCAATGGATACTTAAAAATGCAGGCATAAACAGTAATATATAAACTCAGTAGCATTGCACATGCTACCATTGAGCAATTTTAATCAATACAGATCAAAGTCAAGTACATGCATCTTCTGCTAATTGGATGGTTTAAGTACATATAGTATATGAACATCAAGTCCTCTGAGCAGATACAGAAAAGATCATTAAATGAATGTTTCTGATTAATGATCATTCATTTGATGATCACCAACTCTGAGGATAGCACACCCATCTCTATAATGTACAGTCAGTAGGATACAGTTGTTAAAGATAGCTCGTAATGCTTTTAATATGTGAGGGAAAATGTACCAGTTTATTATGTGGATATTCAATCAGTGCTGATGGTGAATGTGATCGATTTAAAGAGACCCTCTCTTTCCCTTTCCTGTTGGTCGACAAAGGCTAAAATCTCATCACCTTGATTGGACTCCTCTGTTTACTTCTTTAATATAGTGACATCACTATGTAACACTCACGCCTCTTGGCTAGCGCTCCAACATCATATTACATACATTATGAGAAAAATAAAGCAAAATAGAAGCCTGGAAACATGTCACAATAGAGGCACCAAATATAAATATAAACCTGAAAATCAGCATAATATGGTAGTGTAATGCTTTAAGAAAATAGTGTGACAACCCACTGGTTAAACATTCACTCTGAACATTAACCTTTGACTCTACAAATATGGATAATATAGTTTAAAAGGGGAAAAAAAAAAGGATCAGCAAGGTAAATACTTACCGTAAATAAATAACACAAAGATTTCCCCTTTTGATTGATGGGCTGCTCAGTTTAAGTCTTATATTGTATGTGATGTGTTTGAACTTGTGTTTAAACTTAGGGTGTCTTTCTTTGGCCGAGTGTTTACACAGCCACAGTACAGAACGTGTCACAGCAGAATTAAGCAGTCAATCAGTTCCTCTCAGTTGATATAGTACTCTGACTTTCATTATTATTATATCCATATTGTTGAGTAAATATATACCAGCAGCAGCTAAGAAAGCGAGACAGATAATATGTTTTACAATTATACTATAGGCATTTACCGTACCTCTTAGGTATGTTACAATCTATAATTACACATTAATAAAATAAAACATCTATTGGAATTTGGCCCAAATTATATCATTTTCTGGTTTAACTAGGCATTGAAACAATAAGAGTTCGTAAGAATTCGCCTTGGTATAAACGTACTCAACTGTTCTTCTTGTGTAAAATCTAAAACATATTCTGAGATGCAGTAAATACGTGTCTGAATCTTGGCTAAAACAGTCGTCACCATCTTCAATTGTGGACATTGGTTGCACACAAATAGTTTGCTTTGGCAGCAACCTATAGAATTGTTTTGAATCAACACAAACGATTTATGTCCAATCAACGCAAGTACTTTGTATTGATTCAAAGTTATTGAAATGTGTTTCAATAAAGTAAATTAAACACTTTCATCATTTGACTCCAACCCAATTTGATCACTTTATTCAAACACAATTCAATCCCTTTTATTCCAACACTATTTGATCACATAACTCAATATTTGTTATTTTAATATTCCCATGTCAATTACATGTTTTCAGAATTGTAATTTTTTTTATATAAATGTAATACATTATATTTATAAATATAATTGAATGTAAATATGAAACAGATTTTAAATAAAAGTACAATACACTATTAAAATGTCAGCTATAGATTGTGTTCTTGTTGTCTAATACTTTTCAATTAACTTTTTCTTGATCACTCTAAACATAACCCTCTTTTTTTCCATTGAAAACGATTAGAGTTTTGTTTCAAATCCTTTATTCCAGAACCCGGAGATTAATTCAGCAATTACAACTGCCATCGATAGAATCGAGAAGTCTTTCTAAAACATCCAATCGCCAATTTGAGAGTACAAATATTAAAAATATTTGTACTCTCAAATTGTTTAGCAATTTCGTTACAACAATAACAAGGTAAACAAAAACACAAAAATATATATATACTGTATAAACTTTAAAGCATCCCCTGCTTTTATAAGGCATCAATAACTGGAATGGTGGTAGGAGAACCAGCCACCTCAGGATCCTCGTTGAGGTAGATGCAGAGTCCTTTAATGAGGCACTCCCTGCCAGCATCGATGTCTTCCTTAAGGATTAAAACAAAGAATATAGGGACATTTTAACTCAAATTGAACCTATGGAGTAGTCACATTTTGGGATAATTTACCATTGTAATTGATTTTAGACTGACCTAATGCCGAAAAGGAAATTATATATTTATATATATATATATATATATATACGCATACATACATATACATATATACACACATATACACACAGTTAAACAGTTCTTACTGTCATCATGGCAGCCATGTCTTTTAACTTCTTGCCCTGCTGCCCCGATTGTTTCGAGAACACCCTCAGGAGACTTGCGGAGTGTAGGTCAAGCTGTGACAGGAACCTTGACTGTAGAGTTATAGTTGTAATCCGCTTGAACTCTGCGTTAACCTGAAACAAAATGAAACCATTTTTTAACAATACGGCCCACTGACATTTGTTTCATTAAACTTACACCTGCCAATCACATAACTGTATGCACTATGCATGTTTGCTCAGCATTTGATTTCTGCTATGGAATATTGGGTGTGAATGCTGAAAGCATTTTTGCTCTACCGAGATCTAATGAAGCTCGACGCGATCTTGCAAAAGATATATTTTAGAAAAACTTTTTTTTTAGGCGGCTTTTATGTAGTGCTAACTTATACAATCAAATTCGCCACAGTAGATACGAGATGTGGACCTGAAAATCGCCAATAATATGTTTGTGAATGTGTGACGAGTCTGGTGACAGACGCAGACCACAACCGCTGCGTTCGGTAAACACAACATATGGAAACCAGATAGTCTGAAAACCAGTAGGGACATAACACCAGCAGTACAGTATGTGCTGTGTGTTTCTGTTGTCAAGGAGGTTTAATAAGAACTTGTGCTACACAAAACTTGCAGTCATTTTAATTTGTGACGTTATCACGGTATTTTCCTTTTAACTCTAGGCCCAAATTCCTCCCTAAATTAATTTTCCTCCTCCTCGATCCTATTTTTTCCGGCCCTGGGACGACAGACATCCTTAAGCTCAAGCCCTACTCATCTGCTTCAATCATGTTCGAACATGTATTTGAGACTAGTCTTCCATCCCCCATAGCCAGAGGCTGAGCCTTTTTCTTGTAAACATGGATTCTAACTTTAATAATAAATCAAATGGGGAAGGTCTAAGTAACAGTAGTGACACAACTGTTTATAAAAAGCATTTCAAAAAGTGTGACACATCACACAATGGCCAATCACATAACCGAGTGGGACAGGGTTGAACCAAAATACAATTGTATTCTCACCACATAAATTTGAGCCCACAGTAAAAGCGCCGACTCCAGACACGCACAGAGTTCGCGTTTCAATCTGCAGCAACAAAGAGTAACACAAAAAACATTTATACAATGCAAAACTGTATTTCTATAAACACAAATAGTAAATACTCTACAGGTCAACAGATTATGTTTTTTTGAGGGATGATGCCAATCTTTTTTATAGCAGAGCAACACATAGCCATATACATTTCTGCATCTGAAAATGTAAATGACACCATTGCTCTCTTCAATGTACATGTATAGGGCTGGGTACCTACCGAAATAACCTGGTACCAAGTAGTATCGACTTCTCAAGTCAAAGGATACCTATCCTTATCATAATAAT